GGGGGGGGGGGGGGGGGGTCTCAATTTCTGAATCCCAGGTAGACCGTTCTTTTTTCATAAAAATTGATGTGAAATTTACAGACCAGACGGCGAGATGTACAGATTTTACCTTTTAGTGAGTTTTGACACATTAAACACCTGTGTCAACAGATACCCATTAAAGAAATACTTACATCACTCCGGAGAGCGTGTCCCCTTCCAATCAATCGCCACCCCCATAGTCATCCCTGTTGCAATTTCTGTTACCTTTGAACACTGTTTTAAACTCCGGGTTTGCATCAAATGCCGGAGCTTAAAACTGAGACGCTGTTTTAGAACCGTGTTATGGATGGTGTGGTCTAGGATTCCATTTAAGGCAGTGCTAGATCCTGGGCCCTTCGACAATTGTCTGCTGACCCATCTGTTCATGCCACAAATGTTTAGTGAGCACCTACTGTGTGCCGCGCAGTTTGCTGGCACCGGAGGCTTAGCAGTGGCTCAGGCCCATGGCTGGAAGGAGACACAGAAAGCAAGCACACGAGACCCAGGCCTAGTTCTGGATTTCACCTGACCCCTGGCTGTTTTACAAACACCTTGTTCTCATCGATTTGCCCCACAACTCTTTGTCGAGCCCCTCTAGTGTGCTGGGAGAGGGTATGACAGGGGCAGAGCAGTCTAGCCCAGTACTGAGGAGCTCAGACGCAGGAGCCTGACAGCCTTGGTTGGAGTATTCTCTGCTTCTGTCTGGGACCCGAGAGCCTGGATCCCACATCCCCTCATCCTTTCCCCTTTTCCTTTTGCCAAGATCTGTAAGCCATTCTCCCGCCCAGGACCTCCCGGCCTTCCAAAACGTGTTCCCAACCTTCAGAGCAGATTTCCAAATCCCGGAAAGGAGACGCAGGTCCAGGTGTCACTGTGGGAAGAAAAACAAGCCAGGAGATCTCTTCCAAGTCCTCCCTAGCAAAGCCAGAGGTGCACAGGGCCAAGGAGACAGCGGGTCTTCGGTCCCTGCTACGGGCTCAGGCTGTGTGTGTTGTGGGGGTGTGTGTCCCCAGGTCTGTGCCCACCGCTACACCCAGGTGCTGTGGTCAGGGTCCGAGGACCAGCGACGCATGGTGGGCAAGTGCTATGTGCGGGGCAATGACCTCCAGCTGGACCCCACTGATGACTGGCAGACGTACCACAATGAGATGTGTAACAGCAACACGGACTACCTGGAGACGGGCATGTGCCAGCTGGGCACCAGCGGTGGCTTCACCCAGAACACTGTGTACTTCGGCGCTCCGGGTGCCTATAACTGGAAAGGTGGGGACCAAGGGGGACGGGAGGAGGAGCACCCACTCCCAGCCAGCCCCCCCCACCCCCACCCAGGACAGCCAGCCCAGACCCTCCCCACCAGAGGGCAGAAGAGATCTCTCTGCCCATATCGGCAATCGCCAGCACCTCTACTAT